TCCCCTATTATCATTGTTATTATTAGCACACTTTATCCTACTGTCCCTCGTAATATACTAGGTACTTAAAACTCGCAGTAATACGTCTCCACTCCCGCTCCAAACTGTATCAACTTTTAGTTCTTACACTTATCTGTATCTTGGAATTATTTAAAGCTTCACCTAATATTACCACTTATTTTGCTATTATTGTTTTAGCCTCTATAGTTAGGAGGATTATTATAGGTGTCCTTATTTTTAGGCGGCATACCTTAAATATTTCCCATCTTCTAAGACAATAAAAGGTTTGACTTTTCACCAGTGAAGCCTAGATGAAAGAAACCAACTCCAAATTTTACGACTGCTTTTTTTACTCTTGGCTCCATTTCATAAATTATCTTCCACATATGCTTTCCTATTTGCTTTTCATTCCATAAACTATTCCTATTACTTCCAAATTCAGTAAAACATATCTCAATATGTTTATCAATATGGCACGATGTCATATTTGTTAAAATGGTTTTAAACCCATTACTAGATTATGTAAATTTATAAGTGATGGTTTCAAATATTAGGTTTACTGAGCATTATGAACAGCGGAAAGTCTGTTTAACTCGTTGAATTTTCTTAGAAAATGGGAAAATTAGCAGGTGGTTGAAAGGAGGGTATGTAAGAGAGATATGGTTAGAACACTGCCCAAAGTAACTTTTTCGCCTGAAGGTTTTCAATATGCAGAGCTACTCTGTCTAAATAAATAAGGATATTACTTAATTGCAGTTGGAACATAATAATTTCAGTGTCATTGAATAGACTCATAAAATGCCGGGGACTGTCATTTATTTTCAGATATGTGTAACTGTGTTTAAACGTTATTTGGAAGATTTACTAGTGGTGAGATTCATCAATTATTCTCTGAGGAAGAACTAATTTTAGTTATTCTTTTAACTGGGGACTACATTCCTGGTAAAAAAATGATAGAAAAACCCAGAAAGGCACCGGAATCATTCTTTACGAAGTTAATTAAACATCTACTCACAGTGATTTCAGTAGTCTATGAATTGCATCAAAATCAATCCTGGTTATGAAATGTCCACAAGCAAATACTAAAGATCATATAACACCAAACAATCTTCATCTTAATGATGAGCTTTAAATCTTTCTGATATTTTCATTATCCTCTTTTTCAAACACTTATAGAAATACCCTAAGGCTAGTAGATGAGAAGAATCTGATGCAATCAAGGTCTTTTGCAAATAGTGAAAATTTCGGTTTTTAGGTAACAAAAGTGTATGTGCTTAGTGTTATCCTTGTAACTGGAGTTGTTTCCCTTAGTTTTTTGTTATGCAATACAATGTTTCACGAAGCTACTTATATGTTCCCACTTACTTGATTAACTGCACTTTATCAGAATTTATTTAGTATTTGACATCAGTAGTCTGGCTTATTTTCCCACAATTTTTGTGAATAATAATTCTTTGTATTCTGCATTCACCGGATTGACTTAATTGGTGTGCTTTGTAAGACTTGAAAAAATATTTCATCATGTACTGAAAAAACTTATGAACCACTTAAAACCATGGAACACCATTTTGTTTTTAATGCTGGCGTACGACTCAGCAGTGCGAACGCAACCTACCAATAAATAAAATCTAAGACCAACAGAAAAGAATTAAGTTATTTGCTGGTTAGGAGTTCTATCCTATGGTGTCATGAACATTCATTATTTTCAGTGGGGGTTTGTTTTGTGTTTGAACCTGACCAGATGAGGTGCGCTGGTTAAGGGTATCAGAAATTGGGGAAGCTTATTTCCGGGATAGTGGTAAGACATTAAAATGGTTGATATTTAGAGGTTTTGTAAAGTAATTGACTTAACTCTATACAGAATCATATTAGTCTTATATGCGAGGAAGAAAGTCTCAACCAGCTTGCATTTTTAGACATACTTCTGAGTCAAAGAGATGATGGCTCAATAAGACGGTCTATCTACAGAAAGCCCACTTGGACAGGGCAATATCTTAATTTTCACAACTTCTGTCCACTACAGTATAATAGAGGCTTGATGAAGTGTCTGTTTAAGAGGATTCAACGTATTTGCACGGCTGATGTTATAGACAAAGAAGACGAAATATTGATGGATACTCTTGTTGAAAACGGTTATCCTTTGAAGTTTTTAAACAGGTGTAGAAGTCAACTAGCCTCTAAACCTACAATCCATACCGTCCCTAAGAAAAAGGTTTTCATCCAATTACCATATAACGGGGAAATAAACAGTAGGATTTTGAGACAAAGGTTGAATTCGATCATCCGTAGAACCTACTATGCAGCCCAGCTTGTAATTGTGGAAAAGGCTAAAAATATGCTTCACTGCAAACCTCAAAAGTGCACAAGTGATTATATCACATCCCACACAATTTACCAATTTTCGTGTGTGTGTGGACACACATACATAGGGAGGAGTAATCGCGCTTTGCAAGTGAGGGTGGGAGAGCATATCCCAAAATGGTTAGAAAAACAGATTAATTGTGACAAGCCAATAGATGCAGGTGTCAGACTACCAACTTCGTCTAAAGCTAGACATCTTATCGAGATGAACCATAAGATTGATGTTAACTCAGCCTTTAAGGTCATCTATAAAAACAGTCAAGGAAGTTTACTGAAATACACTGAGGCTATAGCTATTCATAAACTTAAGCCCCCCTTGTCTATTTAAAAACAGTTTGTTATTACTCTTAACCTACCTTTGTAATCCTTATTTGATTGGATTACCAAACGTTTGTGTTAATTATTCTTAATTCTTTTTTTTGTCACCTTGTTTAATTTAACTTTTCCATATATATTGACTTGACAAGTAAATGTGTGATCAGATTGTTCGAAATGTATAGCGCAAATACATCACATATTTCAGATAATCTCCGTCTTCTAATAACGCTATCGAAAACCTCTAAGATATCTTATTAACTACACGAAGATAGCTTTGGTTTTGGAATAATATTATTCAAAGATTAATATTTCAGTTATGGAACTATTAAGAAAGTGTGTATTCTAGCGTGAACCGTTTTATCACTTGACATCTATTTGTTATCTTGCAGAGTGTAGTTGAAGCAATGATTCTAAATTTAATCATTTTCTTGGATATCATAACAGCCGTTTATTTTCCCTGTTACTATCATTCTTTTATCCATACATTCATCAAGCCATATATCATGGCTTCTCTCTGCAAATGAATCAATGTCAAGTGCTTGATTGTCTCCTACTCACCTACCTTGTGAATAATTCATCTATTTAAGTAAAGGTTTTGCTGCTATTTTCTTGTTGGATGCGGTACAATTTGCATACAAACGACTAGTGTCAAATCACATTGGATAAGCCTATCAGTGCTACTTAGTTTGTAGTAACTGCCACAAAATAATGACAACTTTTATTGATATAAGTATAAAACTTGGGCACTGTGGTAGAGTATAACTCCATAATGGATAAGATTTTATTTTGATAAATCACACAGTGTTGTGCAGTAACATTAACTGATGACTTTTCTAGCACAAATTATTGCTCATAGTCAGACTAAGTCATTCACACAACTTTCTTGCTTCTATATCTCTGGTATTTGCATTGAGTCATTTCTGTTGCATGTGTTGGGTGTAGACTCGAAGAAGCAAGCAGGATTCAGTAATCAATCTCTCTCCACTTACCTATATTACTTTTTAGAATTTCGGCTCTGTCCCACTCTATTGTGAGGTTGTATGTTAATGCATGCAGTGCTGTTGCTGAGATTTTTTCTAAATTACTTATCTTCTCGAGGTCAACCATTCTTACCTTAGCCAAATTATTATGTTCTGACAATCTGACTACCCCCAACCTACTTGTTTGACCTATGTAGCTGACCTCACTCACAGTCATTGCAGGGTATTTTGTAACTTATATAATTTTGTTTGTTTGGGCTCACTGACAGGGTCCTTTAACCTACAGAGCTTGTCTCTGAGTGAGTTTGTAGGTTGAAATGCCACTCTAATTTCTGCTTTATTAAGAATCCTACGTAGCGAGGGTCTCAGATGTCCCCTCCTTATATGGCATAACTGTAGATAACTTATATTCTCTCTTATTTATGTTATCATTACTAGTTTCACTATTATTTTCATTTTGCTTTTGGCCTTTTCTGATCTTCATAATGAATTTTATAGGATAGTTATTTGATACTAACGCTTCTTCTATCTTTTTTATTTCATCATTTAGGTCTTGTGCTGTTTAGTTCTACCACTTGGTTTGTTAGACACTTAACTAAACCTGCCTTAGCAGTTAACGGATGAGATGAATTAAAGTCTAAACATCTATTAGAATGTGTTGGCTTTTTATAAACGCAAGTGTTCAGTTTACCTTCTTCTGTTCTTCTTGTTTTACAATCTAACATAAGCAATTCTCCTTGTTCATTTTCCGACTCAAACGTGAATTTTATTCCCTTTACTAGTGAGTTTATATGCGTCAAGAAGCTAGAGATATGTTCTTTTTTTGGTGTGGTTGTGCGCTGAAGATGTTGCTCAGTAGAGCAATGAAAGCTTCGCAACGAAACCATCCAGCTCAGAGAACACAACCACACCAAAATCATCCACCTGAACTACAAATCTTCTCTATTATATCTAGAGATATGTTCTGTTTTTAACACTGTGAAAGTGTCATCCACATATCTCCATCATATTTTTGGAGTAGGATTAAATGTATTTAGAGCAATATGGAGACTGACAACTTTTATCACATAAATAATAATAATAACACCAACAATATATTCAGCTTTGATATCACATGATTAATCCACAGATTATTTAATTATTTCTTCATTGACGTGTCTTTTTTTTATTTAAAACGAAAATTATATCTTGACTATTGAACTCGATAGAAATACAAAAAAGAAAGTCATTTCTTATAATCGAGTAGACTTATTTTGTTAATTTAGCATACAATAAATATTAGAAAAAAGAAAACAAACGAAACCAACAATCTGACAAGAAAAATAAATTTTAGCATAAGAATACAAGTCAAATCTATTTTTTTCTTCAAAAAGTGAATTTTTCTGCAACAAATATTCAATTTACTTCTTTTATCGCATTAGTATATATTTATGTATATATATGTGATAATAGGTTAGTGTATTTCACAACCAATCGCAACAAAACATGAAGAGGTTTTAAGTGAAACAAAAGAGATACTTATATATCTGACTAAATAAATGCAATTACAAAGTTATAATTTTTGTTTTATGATTATTCTTGAACATTTAAAGAAAACTGTGGAGCAATATTTAAAATGCACCAATATTATTAGTAGTATCGGTAATCGTTAGCTTTATTTCTACTGTATTAGGAGGTTTCTGCAGGATTATCTTCATCACTTTTTTCGATAATCTTTATTGAGGTATGTGATGAGTCAGCCTGTAGTGTCGTTTGTAATTCCTCTTGTTCATTCACTACAGAAACAGTAACATTTATTGGTGCTGGTGTATTGATTTGCCAAGTATTTGATACACTAGGCAAAGCTTTATGAAAATTCAGGTTATCCACACTTTTAGTCTTTGGAAATGATCGTGGAAAATTTGATTTACGTCGTTTAATTTGATACCATTTACGTACACCTGAACTAAGTACACCTGATGTACGCGATCTATGCATATGTGAATGACTGTTATACTCTGGTGCAGATGCCTTACGTAAATTCAATGAATGCATCCAATGAGATGGTTTGCGTTGTTTAAAATAACTAACTGGATGAGAAAGTCTATTTATAATTTTATTTGAATAATCAATCCTTTCTTCACCATCACCTTCTCCATCAGCGTCATCTTCTGTTTCACCCTCTTGATTTTCTGTTTGTGCATCATCTGCCTCACTGATTGCCTAAAAGTATAAATAAAAATGACAATAATAATGATAAATAACAACAACGTCAAATGCTCCACAGGAAACAAACTGTGACAAGGTCAGTGGAACGTTTACACTGCAAAAAAGGTGAAGTATTAGAGAAAAAAATTGGATAAAATTCAAAACAACATTTTATGCAGCTTTAACCTGAATCAGTTTACTTCCTCATTTCCGTTTTATCTCTAATCAAAACAAAGTGAAAGACTAATGCAAAGATTTTCCACTAATTTAAAATAAATATACGGGTAAAGGAAAAGAAAATATTGGTAATCTATTGGTTCAGAAGGGGGAAGAGTGTGACAAAACAAGCGAATTCTGAACAGTTGTTGAAACAGAAATCGATGGTTCAAATTAAGGTGTCAAAATTTGCTTCGAAGCTATGGAAATCCCTAACTTTACGTTTACTAACAGAAGTAATAACTAGAAATTGTTGAATGTACAGAAGTTTAGTTGATTCCGACAGGAATTTCTTAACATATCAGAATCACTGAGGAAAGAAGAAGAAAGCATTCTACATCGACTTGTTCCTAATGTGATAAGCTTTAGTATTATACCTTTGTGATCATACACAGAGTAAGCTCAGAGCCATTACGTTTTGAGGCGAATATGATGCTATTTAGCCACTTGGTTAAAAATATAATCACCTGTTACTATCAGCGTTTGTTAATTTGTGTTACAGTCTCCTGATTTTAAAAGTCCTCTAGTCGATTTTGAATGTCATGAGGTTGATGTCTAGGTGACAATAAATGAAACGGTATATGTGATGCTTGGGGAATTCACAATTCTGACATTAAAGAAAACCTTTTCAGAACTAAGATAGTATTTTGAATTTCAGTGATTTACCGATGAGTATTTAAAACTATTCTGTTGGAATTCCCTAAATACCTAAGCCGAATTCACTCTTAACGAAGTGGAATAAGTTTTGACGATTTTTCGACCTAGTATTTTAATCAATTTCACATCGCTTTTTAAATTATGTCTATTGAATCAATGATTTTATTCATTACAAAACCTGCCTTGCATTATATTCGATTTTAATCATAACAGTAGATATTTTTCTTATTCTAATTACCATTATCACTATTATTGTTACAGAATGATTTTCTTCACAGGATACAATCTTTCAAAATATCACACATGTAAGTATGTTTAGCTTGATAAGAAATGTAGCGGAATAATTGTTTGGAAAACCACTCATGGACGACCTAATCACAGTATTTGGACTTATTTGGACATTTCATCTAACTCTGTAATTATTATCCATTTTTCTCCTAGACTGTATATCACTGTCCTGACATTTGCACATTACAGGTTGATTCAACTCCTATCATTTCTTTTCTCCTTGTTTAATCCCTAATTTTAATGCATCTCTTTGTGATTTTGTGTACATTGATATTGTGTATTCTTATGATGTAATTTTGTGTGAGTCAATGAATGTCAATTCCGACCTTGGACTGTCTGAGTTTTCGATCTCACCTTGCTGGGAATATTCTATTTGATTCCAAGTGCTCATTTTGTACTTAGACTGAACTGTATAGCTGCCTAACGGCACTGTTGATGTAATTCTGAGATTTTGCTGTTATTATGGTTAGATAGAACCATATATTTATCTAAAAATAATCGTCTTTTAGCTGTCTTTGGAGTGTTTTGTGACTATGTGTGTCTCAAGGAAGTTCTGTCAATTATACAGTAGGAAGTAGAGACATGTTTCCTGCTTTCAGATTACAATGAGTCAGTTTTGTTCGTAACAAAAAATTCACAGCGGGTTACTAAATTATAAATATTGTGAACTCGTGGGCTGATATCAAAGGATCCACAACAGAAAAATCAATCGAAGAGAGATAAAATACTCCAAAATCATTCGCAAAGTAACCTTTTACTACTTACGACTCTATGGATTCTATACAATACGAACGGCTAACTCTGCAAAGAAAGCAAGCTTAACAAAACTCGGCTAACCTCTAACAGATTTCATGTGTGTGTGGGAGTTATTTACTATTGTGCGCTAAGTTTTTTTTACTGTAATTGAATGAAATGATAGGGAAGCCAACATCTTCAAGATCCAGCCGAGATATGAGTAATCTGAAAGAAGAATATGCTAGAAAAAGTAATGACATTCATTATGATCTTAAATTTGTGAGGTTGTTTTTCTTTTCATTCCTTGAGTTTCAAGTGGGACATAGTGTTTCAGGCAAGAGATCTTGAAGTTTTAGTAGCCTTAGCATTGTTTCTACGGGGTGGGGTTGCTAAGCTCAAACCTAATCTCCCTTCTTCTTAGGGCCAACTATAAGTTAGTAAATTACGCGTGGTTTAGGCGTACATTGGCTAGTAATCGAACCCCGAACCACATGAGTGGTTGATAAGCATCCAACTGACTTGCAGAATTATAGCAGACCTATATCCAGTGTAGTAAAGATAATCTGTTTTCAATTTTTATTTCGGTGGCAACTACACGTATCAGTCTTCATATATTTTCACATCCTCCAAATTAAAGTGTTAAATTTAGCTAGACTACATAGAAACGCATAAAATGCAGCGAAAGTGAATTAAAAAAAGCCAAGTATTTTGTTTCACTTGCATTTGTGAAAATGAGCCAAATAAATGAAGTATGAGGTGTGTATTTTATTTTTGCAGTTGTTAAGTACTTCTTTTCTTGTTATATGTATTAATCTAACGAAACACATATATGTAACAATTTACAATCGGCTTAAATTCAGTTACACGATAATGCTTCAGGGCACATACTTTGTTGAGTTATGCTTATTTTATCGACCATACTACTGCGAATCTGTTATACTCATATATTTTTTCCTTTGTAGATGATTTCTTATAAACTTTCTCCTTCATTTAATTTTCTCAGTCTATCAATTTGCTCATAAAATCACCATTCTAATCTTTCCGTAAATAGGCAATAATGTGGATAATAATAAAAAAAATCGAATCTATTTAGCTTCATTGAATTTTATTACAGAAAATAAAGCAATGAAAAAGGTTAGGCAAACTTTATTCATCATATTTAATACCTTTTCATAAGCCATATACAGTTTTATCTGTGTGAAATTGAAGTAAAGTTGTATGGCATGCGTGATATTACCGGATCATAATGTTAACAGACCAACAGTTTCATTTTATTTGATGGCGACTAGCAGCAGAATCCAGAATGTGTGTTTGGAGCTCATTAGCTGGGTGCACTTACATCCCTAGTCAGTGATGTTTCACCCACTAGGACTCGAACCTAGCAATCATCGTTTCAAACGCCAAAGCATTATCTACAAGGCGACTGGGCCCTAAGAACCCCCTCTTACGTAACGAGTATCATTTATTATTATTTCAGTTAATTTACATTTCCTGTTGACTGATTATATCTGGCCGAAATGCGCAGTCTTTGCTAACCTCGTCGGGGCTTCCATGCCAAGAGCTGACATGCCAACAAAGACCAAGCATTTTAATCCAGCATAATTAATCAGTGGGAAATCCAATTTAACTTAAACAATAAGAATAATGCTTTATTATGTATAGTTGCCTCTCAATTCTTAGGCTGAATATCAACAGCTTAGACTGAGGGAAGAGCTTCAAAAAATACGAATAGATCATTCAGTGGTGTAATAATTCCCATTGTTACATTAAGAACACAATATTTAGCGAAAAGACTCTTCAACGAATTTATTATTAAGTTGTACAATCGTGTATATATATGGTCTTTTTGAAGAAATTATATCCAGTGAGGGAAGTGAATCAGTGACGGATCTTTCAAAAGAGCCATCCACCGGAAACATACATGGAATGGACAACTAACTAATTTTTATGGTTGAGTGCCTATCTTCAGGAAAAGGATCCTAATTCACTAGCTCTGCTTTAGGATAAGAAACATTTGTAGTTCTGACTGTGTTGACTATAACTTGACTTCCTAAAAGCCACGCTTGCAGAAAACACCTACCCGAACCGATGTAGTGATAGAAACACGAAAGATAAGCAGTCCAAAATGGTTACCGACTCAGTTCCAAAGAAAACCTTATTCATGAACTTGGAATTCAAAGGTGATCAAGCTTCAGATATGCCCCAAAACCGTCTCTCTAAATCAGTCAGTAAGACGTTCTTTACAGCAAAATTACAAATGACGTTCACCAGCCGCAAGTTGTTCTCCATCTCTATAAAAGATAAGCTCCCTCGTCTGGCCGCCTCCATTTGCATCTATGAGTTCACCTGCTCTTGTGGAGCAAAGTACATTGGCCGTAGCCAGAGAACGCTTTCCACACGATACGAGAACATATTCCAATGCATGGTTTTACAAGGGAGAAAGGAATAGTGTGTGAAGGTCTATTCTAGAACACCTGATCGACTCCTGTCACTCTGCCAACCCTGACCATGATTTTAAGATTATCTACCGAATCCATGATAACTTGCCGCGTTTTCTTCGTCACAGACTTCTAAAGACAGCGGAGGCCTTGGCCATTCATGAATTTAAGCCAAACCTTTGTGTACAAAAGAAGTATGTACAATCCCTACTTCTGCCTTGGCCGTAGAGGGATAGACATTTATTTATTTTGTTTATTTAGTTAATCTATATACCTTTCCCTCATTACTACGAATATTATTATTAAATTCTCACTTTGGATTGTTTCCACTTGCCCCACTTGTCAATCTAAATAGTGTTGAATTTTAGAAGTTAATTGGTGGATGAGAACTAGCAGTGGAATCCAGGATGCGCATTTCGTCCTATTTGGGACTCGTCATCTGGATGTACCTGCATTCCTCAGTGAAGCCTCTGCACAAGAAACTGACCGAGCACTTCAGCCCGATCAATCGACGGGAAAATCTAAAATTGAATTAAATTGTGTTGAATTTTACCTTATCTAATTTCAAACGAGTTATGTAATGTTTTATACACCCCTTTTTATACACCTTACGAATTATTCTGTATATGACACTAATTGTTTTGCTACTTGATATTTAACTATGATTATAATCACAAATATTTTAATTGCATTTCATACTTCTACTACTATTATTATTATTTCATGTATTCACACCTTTGATTCAATTCCCTCACTGGATATAATTTCTTAAAAACCATATATATATATATATATATATATATATGCGATTGTACAGCTTGATAATAAATTCGCTGAAATGAGTCTCTTCGCTGAATATCGTGTTCTTAAATCTTCAACTCAGATATCATGACAAGATCAAGGGTCACTGGCGTTTCACAGATTAATTGACTAATTTCATAGCTGAATAAATTCTTTGTTTAATGACTGTCACTCCTTTATCATTCATATACGGGAAATGGTGTTTAATGAATTGAAAATAAATTATGAACTGACCTCTTTTTATTTTTATTTATTAGTTAAATTATACGCGTGCTAAAATTAGCAAAAGAAGTAGGCATCACAACATGGAAAGATTAACACTTTGGCACCCATACATTAAAATATCTACATGTTTTGTATAGAAACCACACGTGGATGTTACACTGTAGGACGTATGTGAGTTAGTCGCGTGTTTGAAGAAGTAAAAAATGCATCTTGTTATCAAAGTACAATCTTGATTCTCCATTAGAATAAACTCAAAGATGCTGATGATAAAAGTGGAGACTAATTTTAAAGTCATATAGTCAACCAAATTTAGTCAACTTAGTGGCAGTATACTTAAACTCTATCGTTACTGTATTGATGTTCAGATACAAATATCTTCCAAGTTCGCATTATTTGATATAAGGATATGAGATACATTGCATTTGTCAACTTCCCACAGGATAACAGATGCAAACGTGTCTATTCACACATATTGAAACGGAAAATAAAAGAAACAAATTATTTCAACGAAATACTCACCTGATTAACAATTTCATTTACTAATTTCAGATCATCATACAAATCTTTACGACTACTAACAACTAATGGATCACGTCCAATTTTATTTAGGCGTTCAGCAGCCACGGATTCCATTGTTCTACGCATTAAAGGATAATTATCCAATACTTCAAGAAAACTTGCTCTGTCTAGTGAATAAACATTACAGTATGTTTCAGCTCGAACACTAGCCACTCGACGTGCATTTGTTAGTAAGCATATTTCTGTGGGAAACAAACAAAAAAGCAAATATGATAAGTCCTGAAAATTTACGAGAATCTTTGATATTAAAATGTAATGAAACCAGCTCGTGAAGATTGAGTTCAAAGGCTGTTATTAACTGAATTAGAATCTCTAAGGCTGAACGCAAAGAACTGCCAAGTTGATTCTGGTTATGCAGCATCAACAGAGACTTCTTTCAGAGTCATATATAAAGTATGACCAAGTCGTTCGAAAGGATTTTGTCTATGTCTTCTTCATGCAGCTGAAGCCTTAGTAATCCTTGAGGGGAAACCTGAACTTTGTGTCCAGAAACGTTTTATCCGGTCTCTTCTACAACCACAGCATTAGTACTATTTTTTTATTTCATTTTCTCCCATCTTTGTCTTCCTAAATCACTGCATAGTAAACTCTGTGTAGTCTGTTTTATGATTTTACAATTCATTTTCAATCTTCTGTTCTCTGGTCTCTTATCAGTTATTTAAAAATGATCATTCATCACTCAACCAATTAGTTGTCAACCCTCTCATGCACTTTGATTTGCTTTTTTACTAACTTACAATTACCGTTGACCTCTGCTGTCAATCTGCACTGCATATATAAACTCCCGCAATAACTGTACAGCATTGAAGTGAAGTTACGAAAGACGTCTCTCTGATGACTCATGTGTTCTTAATCACTGATTTTAGTGAACAAATAACAAACTGTTTTATTCTTTGAGGTGGATGGCCTAATTGGCAAGCTTGGATTGTCCTTCTAGACAAAATCTTAAGCTCTAAATTCAATGTGAAATGAATATTTAGAATTCTCTACAAATGGAATAACGGTCTATACTAATGATCTTGACTGTGTTTGGCTATCTCCAGAGGCAGTTTTATTTCATCCACAGAGAGTTCCAAAAGCTCAATTTCTCTTAGCGTTAGCACTGAAGATGTTGTCTAGATGAACAATTCAATTCAGGAAATATGAGGACACCAAACGTTTCTCTATTCTTCCGAAGTTACGAATTTAACTGATAAATTATGGCCTATATTTAGGCCTTGGTGGTTACATGCAAAACTAGTCAGTTTGAAAGCCTTTACATTTTCCAAGAAATATTAATTCAAGTAAATAAGCTGGTAATACTGTTTTGATAATAATGTAAGTCTCATTCTAATGTTATTTAAAGTTAGTAATACACTTCACTTGGGTGAACACTTTTGACTGTATAACCTGCTAACCGAATTTATTTTGAGCTTTACAGTTCTTAGACTAATCCCACTATGTCTTCAGCTAATACATGCCACTGAAGTTGTGTTTGCTGCGAATGAATAACTCAGCGGATAAACCTATTATTTTCAAAATGGCTTCCAGGTTTTAATTTATCAAAAAATAAACACAGTAATGATAATTTCCACTGCAAGTCGTGTTATGCAAGCATGTAAATTAACTTTCAGCTGTCTAGTTAGTCAAGATTATTTCTAGGCTTTTGTCAAGAGATGACGACCTCACGAATTTTAAAACCAAGAAGAATTTACATTAAGTCACTCGTAATATTTTTTATAAGGAAATAAGAGAAAAATAATTCACTCTTTTGTGAGATCCATTCCTATTCATGAGTAGTGCAAATAAAATATTAAGCATGTAAATGTTAAGCAAAATATTGTTCAAAGGTTTCATCCTTCAATCTCACCTCCAAAATATGAACCATCCGATAAACTGGTAGCTACTTCACCATCTCTTGTCACGATATCCACAATACCCTCTTGAATAAAATACATTTTAGTTCCAATTGTACCTTCTTTGATAATTAAATCACCCGGTTGAAATACTTCATAACGCAATTTAACAACTACTTCAGATACGAAATTCTGGTCAGCAAATGTAAAAAATGGTACTGCTGCAACTAATGCTCTACAGTTATAATTGATTATTTGCTAAATAATAAAGAAAAGGAAAGAAAGGATTCTATTTTAGAGAGAATAGAAGGACTCTTTTCAAAATAATAAACGAAATAGTAATCTACCCATTAAAAAGTCACTAAAGCAATCTGAAGATTAATAAGTTTAGAAAAGAAATATGAAATAGAGATAATACGGTCTGGCATATAATACGTTTACTTCCATCAAGTAACAAAGTCATGTACTCCAATTAACTGTTAAAATATCTAATGTAATTTTTGAAAATCTCAGCTCAGACAGTTCATTATTACTTGGCACTTTACATGAGTGAATATCGTGTAACAGCTCAGGCTGTTTACAAACTCATCAGCTCAGTCCATTGAAACCAGCACGTACTTTTGCCTTTTGCCTACTGACGGTAATGTTGACGGTCAAAAAGTGACATAATAGAACACTGAAGTAATCAATATATTTTTAAGTTCCGATCATACTAAATTATTCAGTTCATAACAGTACTTTATAAATATCGTATCCCATTAATAACTTTGATTCATTACGGGAAGTAACTTCACAAGACGACACGTAACACACAGAAGGGATATCTCAAATATGATGATCATCAACTCTGTATTATAATTTTCCCGGATAATAAGTTACTATTACTGTCAGAAAATACAGCTGAAAATACCAGTGGGCTCATTTATCTTCAAAAGTGTGTGATTATCTTTGTAAACAACAAGTTGTACTTCATACGTTCATTAAGCATCACAATGAAAGACTACACGTTCCAAAAGTCGTGAAATTTCTTATATGACAGTGAAAATTAAAATCCTTTCGTCAAAAGGCCGAAAACTATCGGACACAAAATGAATAACTAATGAGTGACAGTGGTTCCTTAGAATATTAGTTTATGGAAACTATGAACCAAGAGTAATGCGTGCATTTTGAAGGAAAGCTTTTGAGCTGAGCAAAAAATCGCGTTAGTGAGATATAGAGTTAAAAATTAGAACCAAAGGATCACACCATAAAGGTTTTCTGAATTTTCTTGGAATGCGCATTGATGAAAACTCGGTTTTCTATCAAAAAGAATAACTTCATAAGTATACCAAATGAATTTAAAATGAAAAATTGGCCTTCCAAGTGTCAGTTTGTGGGGATTTTATTGGTTTCAGGTTCGGTCAAGGATTGACATAAGTTAGAGAGTAGTTGTTTCTTCTTTACTTGTGACTCTTCATTAGTATGCACCCATGACTTCACCGGTGTCATTGGATTCCGTCCCAGTAGCTCAATGGTCAAAGAGTTAACATCGTAACCTGAAAACCCTAAGTTCGATCCTCATTGTCATGATGGCTGCGTGCTAATGAAGAGTCTCAAACTGGGGTTAAACAGTTGTTCAGTAATCCCTAGTTTGCATTGATTTTCTTACTGATACAAGTACATGATCACATTTGAAGAAGTTGGCATCTAACCCAAAAGAGAACTTCAGTACACCTAATTCTCACTGAAAGTATCTACACATACAACGAAAATTACCTGTTTAGAGTTAAATCGTTACTTATTGAGACTAGGTAATGAGTATTCCGTTCCCAGGAGACTTATTTTTTGTATGATTATACAAAGTACATTAAGAGAACAAAATTAATGTAATTAGCATTTATTTGTTTTATGAACAGCATTTCCTTAAGGTGTAACTTCATGCAAAATTTAAAATATCAATGCAACTGTGTTTTAATTGGGTTTGCAATTACTTTTAATATTTTTCGCCTTTTTGTGGTGTATAGATGAAGTGACAACATAATTCTTAAAAAAGTTTATTTTACAAACTGAAATAGATTTGTATTAGTGATTCAATTCACTTAAAAATACTGGTTATTTGTTTTCAGTTGGACTGGATATGTTAAAAACTGCAAAAATCTTGTTGCGTGGTATGACGGAGAAGATTTGCAGCTTAGGTGGATGATACTGAAATAGTTGTGTTCTCTGGGCTGTATAATCTGGTTGAGAAGCTCTCACTGTCTTTCTAGACAACATCTTTAGTTCATACTTCAATTTGAGTTCAAATTTGAACTAAAACGTCTGGGTAAGATAACGTAACTATGTAACGGTAGAAGACAAGAGACTTGGTAACGGAATGTTTATTTGAAATATAATATTTTTATATAGGGAAATTATGTACACCTTGTATGAAAATCATCGTGTGCCACTTCTGCCCTTCGTATTGTGTTCCTTTGTCTTCTTTTCGTGTCTCTCATATTTTGCCTCAACAATGGTTCATTTCCTGTCTTTGACGTCAAATCCCTGTCTCCGCTATTCAATATTCTCCTGCGGATGAACGTCTCTTCAAATACTACTGATAAATCTTATCAGTAGCACACATCACAGCTACACTAATACACTGCGGCTACTGAAGTTAATAATGATAATAGTTTTATTCCAAACAGTATTCTTTTCATAAAATATGGAATTTCCAGCATGTAGTACAGTATTGCATCTAATTTCTTCAATACACGAGTAAGAATTAAAACGGGACATTCACATTGATAATATTGCCCAATAAGAGTGTGAATATCAAATAAAATTAATTAAAAATATTAACAAAAATATAATAAGACCCTGTTAGCAGATATTTTCATATCGAAATTGGATAGACAAATGCAAGGTATGCTTGGAGAATTTATGCTGTATAAACGTTATGTAGATGATACTCTCATTATTGGTAATAATAGTAAATCTATTGAAAACTTTATTACTCTATTCAATCATATTCATCCAAATATCCGAGTGACTTCCGAACGCGAATCGAATAACAAACTCGGTTTCCTCGATATTACAATGACCAGGAGAGATGATGGTAGGATTTAGAGATCTATTTTTTGTAAACAGACATGGAGTGGACAATATCTTCATTTTACCAGTTTTGTTTCTATCCGGTATAAACGTTCCCTAGTGAAATGTTTGTTCTCAAGGGCCCGAAAAATATGCACGAGTGATAAAGTGATGGATGAGTTTCGACATACATTCAGTTTTATTAGCTAATGGTTATCCGGAAAGCTTTATCACTTGTCACAGTAAAGAAAGACCACAACTCGAAAAGACAGCTTCGGTACCAAAGAAAGCTATCTTTATTAACCTACCATTCTAGGGTGATCAGATTATGCAGTTGACAGCTCAAAGACTTCGGTCAGCCATCAAACGCACATTCTACGCCGCATCTCTTTTTCTCACTTGCCGAACATTTTCAATCCCTGTACCTACGATTAAAGGACGAAATTCTGTGGACTCTACTTCAAACTGTATCTACAAGTTCACCTGCAGCTGCGGTGGCACCTATATAGGTAGAACCAACAGAATGTTCCAATGTCGTCGAAAAGAACATGTTCCAAAATGGCTACTAAATCATATAGAAAATCCCAATGCCAGTAATCTGAATAGAAATCCAGCATCATCCATTGCAAAACACTTATTAATGTCAGGTCACAAAATCAGAATTAATGACTGTTTTACAATTATTTCACATAACTCTAATTCAAGGTTATTGAAGGTGATGGAAGCACTTTGGATTAATCACATACAGCCTAAACTGTGTGTACAAAAATCAATAGACTTCAATCTCCGCCTACCCTGGACTACTTGACCTATCTAAATATGACTGGTCATTAGTACGTACTTTTGTTTTATTTAACTGAGTAATTGTCATGATCTTTATTTTATTATTGTTAACCATGTTAGTTGTAAAGCGGTTTTAAAGAAACTACGAAATGACGATATCATCTCGCGAAATTTGTCTTCTTAATGCCTTATTCAAATTTATCAAAGGGACTAATTGTTTTAAAAATATAATAAAAAAGGGTCGTTCTACTCACAGTACCGCAGTAAGTTGGTAATATCCTACCTTACACTTTTCTCATCACATAAAATGTGTGCAAAATAAGGTGTTGTAGAGTTTTTGTACTTAGTCGTCCGGGCATACAGTCTTCTATAGTTGCTTCTAGTTCTACCCGATGAGATGCGAGAAGAGAGTTGTGTATGGAGAGGATATTCAGAGTCTGACAGGATAATATTTGCTAATTTCTTGCAGGAATCCAAGTGTCAGTCTACAATAGCATTAACGAGTTGGCTTAGTAACATCCCACTTCTCCCTACTGACGGCTTTTTGTACCCTTCGCTGTATAATAAAGTCTTTCTTAAGTAGCCTGGGAAAGATTAAGGAGGAGCAGTGAAGAAGGATAGGCAGAATACAAGAACTAACAAACGGTAACAGTAGAGACGGAATGATACCAGATCGCCTTAACTTCCTTACGTGGGACATCAAACGAAATATCTTTCTGGAAACTAACATGATGTGGGGAAGATCATAGAAGACCAAAGAAAATACACAGTCCAATGTATTTAAAATTCGACTTAGTTTCAACCCCTATATCATCTATGATAGTGAAACTGGGCGAACTAACCAGTTTAAGTAAGTCGCACTTACGTCTGAAAGTGAAATTAACAGTCTGACATTTGGAGGGATTTGACTTAAAAATATTTGACAAAAACCATTGACTAATTTCTGACAAAAAGGTATTCATTTGGAACAGTGTGACTGGGAAATAACAGACATAGAAACAGTCAGATCATCAGTATACTTAAAAAATTGGCCTCATCAGGATGGGCAAGCGATGTAGGAACACCAGCTAGAGTAAGTGAAGCAGTGGAGGACTTCTCACTGTAAACAGTGTACTGCTTCCTATCAGAAAAGTAAGAATGCAACGACTTATTAGTTCATCACCCTGCTTGTTTCGCAACAAGCTTGTTTAAGAAAGGAGGCCTAGGTACAGAGTTAAAAGCAGATGTGTAATCTAGGAAGGCACACCAAACATATTTGGCATCCCTCTCTATACTAGAGACAGTATTATGGTTTAAGACGACAGTAGCATCTAAAGTACGCCTACACAAGTAATGTAATATTGTGGCCAGTGCTACTGATAAGATTTATCAATATGTCATAATACTCCAACATCTATTACTACTACTTTCCTGATAGATGTAAGTCATACGGTAGAAAACTGTAATTTTTTGACTAAAATTAGCATGATCAGTTTGTTTCATCTACCATGTAATATGAGGAGTCTATATCAAGGAGATTACAGTTTTTTAGCATGTATTTAGGAAGCTTATATATGGCAGCTAAAGTAATTCGATGCATTATCTTGATCGTGTATTAGACTTAGTATCAGATTTTGGTTTGTCTTTGACAAGTTTTATGGTTTCCTCATCTAAAAGAATAAAATGATGAACAGAATAAGCAGCTAATTGATTAGTTTTACCGGACCAAATTACCAGGTCTTCCCTGGCACTCGGGCTTTGCCTAGGAACTTTCTGAAGAAATATTGAGGTCAACATGAAGGTACTTCTTTGATGATGGCTAGCAATAGAATGTGCATTCCGTTTGATTCGAGATTTTTCAGTTGTGTGTACCTCCATCCCCAACAGGTGAGGGTGCTCCCACTGCGATTTCAGTTCACTCCTTTACCTCGCTAAGCCAGAAGTAATGATGGTGAAGAGGAAAGGTTGGGCATGAGGCTAGCAACCCCATCCTGTAAAATAAACACTGCTACAGAAACCTCAAGCCAATAGCTTGAAGCCCTATGTTCCACTGGGGAACGTGAAGGAAAAAAAAAACCCAACATTTTAGACACCTAACATTTCGAACCATTAAAATCAATTGGGGAGAAATTCAAAATAATACCATTTTACAATAGACATCTGTTTCTCTCATAACCAAGTTGGCCTAGTGCATAACCCCTCAGTGTTTGAAACGATAGATGCTGAGCCTTAGTCCCAGTGGCACTCATTTAGGGTACAAGTGCGTACTGCATGCCAAATTAATGGCAAACTTTGCTGCAAATAATTACTCTGGGAAGAGTTAAATTATGAGCTTCACTATTAATTTTTACTACAGCAGGCTTTGGTGAATGTCTGAAGTTTTTTGGGTGTGTCCCAGCATCGACTAATGTGAATTTATCAAAATGTTTCTAATCTGATAGATTGCAAAAATTGCCATACATAACCTTTGAAACTCGAAAATTTCACACATCATTTAGTTTTATTACAATCTTTACTCATAAAGGACAATACCATTTCATTCACAGTCGAATGAACTTCATTCATACGTATAGGTGAAAGTAGTCATTAAGCAATAGGATTAACATTAGCACAATCTGTATATGAATGATAGTTTTCTCGATGGATATGAATATGAATGTATTTATAAATTACTTTCTCATTGCAATTTAATGAAAAACAAGTTTAATCCATGATAAATTATAGAGTCAAGGTCAAAATTTGTAGTTAACCCTCAAAAATTCTAATGATAATAAAGATAGTACAATGACATATATAAAAATAATATTTAATACTGGTTTAATCTGATTTGGAGAAGCAATAAATTCTGCAGTCACTGGATAATTCGTTAAAATCAAGTGAGGTCAAAAGAGATCAAATATCTTTAAAAAGTGCAATTTTGTTTGAAAAATTAGGGTGGTTATTAGTACAACAGTACATAATCGCTGAAGAAACATAAACATGACGAAAGTTAGCACTTCTATGCTCAATAAGCTAATCAGAGTCTTAGCTTTTTCCAAGGTTCACGTAGTAGGTTCATTGAACAGAAACATTAATTTGTCTGTCTTCAGAATCATAGCCAACTTTTTAAATATATTGTCAACCACATTCAGAGATAGGGAAATAAATATCAGCATAATCTAAAAGACTAAAATTTAATTCTTTAACTAATGGTAAAGATGTTTAATATCACTACCGTGACTAGCATGCACTTTAGAGAGCTATAAAATCCAGGTGGTTTTAGTAAATGTTTACAACCTGACTCTTCACTCTGATAACTAAAAGTAATACTTCACCTTTTATGTGTTGAACGACAGTTATTAGTTTACATAGTTCAAAACACAGTAGATGAGGAGTAACAGTGTAATATTTTCCCGGAGAATATTTGCCGCAAGCCAAAAAGGGCCTATCTATTAATAAATTTAAGAGAAACAGTAGCCTTTAAGTTAGTATAGATAGTTTATTAAATGTTCAATTGTCGGTCTTTAGAGATTTGATTGGCTTCAAGTGAGGCTACTGATTAATGTCAGTTAAAGAATCACTGAAAACTAAGGATTACTACACAGCTATTTCTTCTATATTCAAGATTCTTCACTGTATGCACCCATCACCCACCGGTGATCGAACCCAGGACCTTCAGGATACATGGCCAACTCGCCAACCATTCATCCGATACCTCATGAATTCTAACTTTAGCTAATTTGTGATGTATAGCATCACCACCAGCCAATGTCATCGGCAACTATTTACCCTCATATCCAACTTTGTTAACATCACTAGTCATGATTTCTCACTGAAACTCCAGGCGATTTGGTAATGTAGTCAGTCACTAGTAAGCGTTAGATTAGTTTTCAACCGTTGGTTAGCAAAGATTTTATTGTTTTCAAGTTCGATAACGCTGATTAATCTGACTAAATGCTCAGTTTATGTTTTCATATTATTAAAAAAAACTATTCTTGATATTTTTAGCGCTTAAAATTGGCCAAGGGAAACCTATTTATATCATCAGGAACAACTTAAGCAGTATAACTCAGTGATTAAGTACTCTCCAAAAGTAATCACACATAATCAACACACTGAAATCAGTGCGGGGGAATTTTATGAATCAGGATCGTCTATTTAGCACTGTGATTCCTGTATGAAACGTGGTGAAAGTAGAAGAGTTAGTTTAAAAAAATCTAAAGTAGTAGGAATGAATTTTCAAGGAGCTTCATTCCATGTGATATCATTAGCAGGTTAATAAATACAATAAACGACTGTAACACATCCGAAAGAACTGGTGTTTCTTCTTGTCATTAGTGAAAAATAATGTAATAATGAGATTTCGTCAAATATAAGTTAACACTAAACTAATACAAGACGTTTGGCAATATATAGAAATGGATTTGTCATTTTCATAAGTTAATCTTGTCTGTGAATTTTCTCACGTCTGATCTTATTACGCTGTCAAAAAGCTTTTTTATAAGTATCTTACGATATATAATTTCTTGTCTCAAAGATTTGAATAAGCCTGTTTAATTATATGTTAGTGATAGACGAACTGTAATGAACACTTGTAACAGAATGTAAGTTCTTTTCGGATACAGTGTATCACTTAAATATGTGAAATATATTCATTAATCTGAAAAAAATATGCTGAAAACAGATTTCTTCGCAAATCGATATCACTTAGGAAATTACTGAATATCAGAAACAGCCTTTCGAAACCCACCACTAGTTTGCATCCATGTCCCTGCAGAGAATCGAAAGGCAGATCATGAGGCTTTCAAGTGATGATGTTAGCATTTAGGCAATGGGATTCAGTAGTTGTTAATGTTTTGAGTTCAAGGAGAACATTCAGTGTGATTCTGTACAATAATTAAAGTTCACATCTATTCAGATATTACTAAAATAACTGGTATAATTCTTTTTTCAAGTCTGTTTCGATGTTCCGGTTGATTGATCCCACCGAAATGTTCAAGAGGTGACCCTAAAAGCCTAAGCGGTCTAGTGGATAACGCTTCAGCGTGCGTTGGGTTGAATTCTTAGCCAGAATACCATGACTCACTTGGGATTGCAGTTACATCCGGACGATGAGTTCCGAATGGGACGAAATTCGCATCCTGGATTCCACTGCTAATCACCATCGACTAAATTACTAAATGATACAATCTTTCTCCTATGTTGAAAAAACCGAATACACATTTTTTATTTAAATGCATCGTTGAATTTTGTAGTTTGATGGAAACGTGAACTGACGTCGGAATCACACCCAATTTCCTAGTAATCTCTGTATTCATCCAGCTGATAGAATGACCAGCCTAAGATGCTTTGCTCGAAGTAAAAAGCATCATTGTTCGCTATTCATACCTGCAAGTGTTTTACGCTTTGGTCAATAAACTTAGAAAAATTAATGAAGTCAACAAACGGCAACCATATTATTCTACAAAAATATGGAAGGAACCACAAATTATCTGAATTTGAGAATTAAAAAGTCTGTCAGTAAACTTACCTCCTTTAAGCACTCTGAAAGTTCATTTAGTATTTCATTTTCATTGAACATTTTGCCTTGATATCGATGTTCATAATAACTGGCAATGCGTTTGCGTAGACCACGTGGTAGTTTTCTATATGCCATATATTCGTCAACTTGTTTAAACTATTTTTGATCCAAAATAAAAAAATGGAATAAAACAGTGTTTTTCTCAAAGTTTTCCTAATTTTAATTTTTGAGCACATTGCATAAAGAATGTGCCCAGGAGCATCACCGGTAACTGAGCTGTAAAATTTAAGGAAATTTGCAACTAAAAGAGCTACTTTGTGGTGTATGCGATCATCAAAGAACAGTGGAAAATAAAATAAAAAGGATTCCCTTGCTAACTAAAAGTGAATAGGGAGTAACCCCACACCGAAGTCCGTGGTTATTTGACTGCAAGGAAATATAGTGTTTAGATTTCTTCCTGGCACTACTGTTCTGTTCCACTTCTAGTAGTGAGTATGCCATACCGTTCTGGCCCGAAGAGGATGAAAGGCCTGTGGGGGTGGAGACCAAGCGTGACACTTCAGTCTGGAGCTAACCTTGGAGTCAGGTTTGAGAATGCAGCCAAAAGTGGGTGGTAAACCCTCTCCAAGGCGAAATACTTACACCAGTCTGATAGTAAACAAGTATCTCGAGAGAAAGTTGAAAAGTGCTTTGAAGACAGAGCAAATAGTGCGTGAAACCACTCATAGGTTAATAGGCAGTGTTGGACTGCGATCCCTGAAAATTCAGCTGATGAGCATGATTTGTGCTTGGACATAGTGGCAGCCTTTCAGTGCCTTTCAAACTGTAGGTGCCTGCCTATTGGTATATATGTGGTGCGCTTACCATGTGGGACACGCACTGAAGGGTGCATAGGTCTACTTGTTTCGTGCACTTTATCAGGGTGTAGATTACGGCATTTGAAACTTGATGTGAAAGTCTACTCCTTATGAAGACCATATCAGGTAGAGTTTGACTAGGTGGTACTCCCATCAAATGGTAACGTGGGATTTTATGGTGAGCTCAGCTAGGACAGAATCCTGGCGTGGAATAAAAGGACAAAAGCTATTTTCATTTTCAGTATGAATACAGACCGTAAAGGGTGGCTATTGATCACTTTGAATATTATTTTCAGAATTTGACGCAACTGGTCTCAGGAAATTCACCACAGGGATAACTGGCTTATGGAGACAAAGCGTGAATAGTGACATCACTTTTTGATCCTTCTGTGCTTCTATCGTTATGAAGCAGAACATCCGTAACGTTGGATTGTTTGCCCACGAATAGGGAACGTGAGCTTGGTTTAGATTGTTGTGGAACGGATTAGTTCTATCCTACTAATAAGTGCATTAATAAATGGATTGCAGTCTGGTCGCTGCTATAGTGATTTCGTTTAGTATGAGAGGAACCGCAAGTTCAGAAAATTGGCATATATGCCTGGTTGAAAGGTCATTGGTGCGAAGCTGCCACATAAAGGATTAAGATTGAACGCCTCTAAGTCTGAATCCCGTCCATATTTTCAAAGGTACATTCCGCGTCTAATACATCTCTAGGCAAACTTATGTATTCCTTTTGGTGTAGGGACCGGATCGTGTGTTCGGCTAGACCCAATAGGTTTGGTATTAGGCCAAATCAATAACTGCAAACTATGCTCCAGGTTTTGGAGTGTAAGAGCTGAAACGATATCTAATTATGATATGAGCGTGAGGATACTGAATCGTTTACAGGCCACTTAATGTCTTGTTGAGGAGACAAAAGTGCTCCAGCAGTTATCATATTCTGAGGCATTGAGTTCTATCCCTGACTAACGTAATCAAACAGGGTCTCTACTTGAAGTCACAAAAAACAGTTAACAAAACTGACTCAAAATGCTTTGAGGCTTTTTACTTGCATTCACTTAAAAATTCAGAAAGCAGAATAAACAAAATATTAACAATTATGTGACCAATAAGTGTCAGTTAGGACGATTACTTAGTGACATAAGGCAATGGAGTTCTTTTATTCAGTTCTTTTCTTTACTTTTGTAGAGTTATATATTTATTGAAAGTATGTGGAACAAAACATATGGTATTCATCATCAATAAAAAATTAAAATGACAACATTTTGTGTCAGTAAAGCTGACAGATTTACCTTTTCTCTGTAAAGACGTTTAGAGCAATCGAATGATTGTATTAGAGCTGCAGCATGACCAACAAATAAAGCATATCCTGTTGCTCCAGTAACCATACTAATTACTGTAACCCATGCTTCACTTAAGCTTGTTGGAGGATATCTTCCATAACCAATTGTTAACATATGTGACATAGCTTTAAATAACGCCCAAGTATATTGATCAAACCAGTAAGCATTCTATGTTTAGAAAAAGCATATTTATGGAGGAAAGAAAATTTTAAAAAATCTATAGACTGATCAGTTTTCTAATGGTATCAATAAACTCATGTTTATGTGAATCACGCCTGTTTCTAAATTTATAAAAACAAAAGCAGTAAATTTTCCTACATGTTTGATACATTCATTGCATACAATGATAAGACCAGTTCTGATGATAACCCTCTAGAAATACTTGCTGTAGGTCACTCACAAATTAAGTCCACCTATGAAACGTAGAACAATGGTCGCTTGATTCACTCTTGTCGAGAAAAATAAATAGAGACGTTCAACAGGACACTTTTTGTAAGGAGTTTCAGCTTGGTGAACTTATGTAGTTCAGATTATTCGTCCCTCTTGTATACAAACAACATATCATGCATTACATCGATATTGTGAGCTAAGAATATTCTTTTAAATCTGATATTTTGAATAAATGAGTAAAGATGACAGACGATTCACTAGACGAGAAGGATTATCCCAAAGAATTTATGAAATCTAGAATGATGAGATCAGTTAGAGTAGAGTGATTGCAGAGAGCTTTAAAGAAATGTCTCCACTTGATCTAGTTGATAAAAGAAGTAACCTTGGAATAATTATCACTAAAACTCAGGAAATTAATATCTACAGAGTCGTTCGTCATAACCCCTTACTACCTATTGTAAAATTTAAATACATGTGAAGGATAAAGTTCCAAATAAGATCACTTCAATGTGAATTTATAAATTTAACTACTCTTGTGGATTTGATTAAGTAGCTGAAGTGACTTCGCAAGTCATTCTCGGCCTTTTTTAGCATTGCTTAAAGTAGTTAGGGAAAGCGATAGTAAAGTCTAGCGATAGCTCTATCCCAGACTACCTACTAGTTACAGGGGACGAGAATGAATAGGTTTGAGTTTTATCACTAAACGCGAGGTGCTACCTTAATTATCCAGGTTTGCACTTCCCTGGCTGTTAAACACTGATGAGGCGGTCGTCATCAGAACTGTTAGCCTTATTTATGTTTTAATAAAATTTCATCAAGTATATTTCCTTCCTATGGCCTTCGCCATCAACCTAAATGCACTTGTAATTATTTTATTTCCCTGCCAAAGCGTATAAGTTTAAGTGTTATAAATTAATGGCATTTAAGTAAGTTATACTTCATATATAAATATGTGCTAAAGATGCTGTCTAGAAAGGCAATGAAAGCAGCCAGCACAGAGAACACTACTGCACTAATAAATGACGGCGTTGTTTCAGAAAACACTAAAAATAGTAAAATAAAATGACTATTTATTGATATTTTATTTCATACATTTTATGATTTTAGGTCTAAATCACTCGAGATATCTTCATTTTTAACTTTTTTGGATATTACTAGTTTTACTCATCTTTAATCTAAAGGTTTGTATAAGTAGTCTACAAGATAACTGCGTATTCTCATAGAAGTTATATAGTTACATGTCCCTATTGATAATGTTGTAATTTCCTAATTTTAACTGATTAAACTTTTCTAAGTTATTTTTCTGAATATAACTTATTAAAAATCACATTAATTTCCTCAGACTGACCCACTTTTCGATGTTTTGTGTTTAGTAACTTCTTCAGATTTTCTGGGTTCAAATTATCCTCTCGTTCAAACGGCTTTATTTCCATTTTTTTAAAATTATCAACACCAATATTATCACCATTAATAATTACTGTCAGTTTTAGTTAATCGATGAAAGTATAATATAAATTTAGATAGTCAACAAAGAAGTCATTTTGGTGAGTAGTTTTGTCAAGACAGAAACTATCCAGCTACGAACGACTCTTTCAATGACGTATTCTCAGGCTGAGCATTCATTCATTTACATATATACATATATGAGTTACGTTGACTTAGCAACCAAAAAATATTTCCAAGCATTCAAAAAAAACTTATTTTTGATTAAAGTTCAGGATATTCAAAACTAATTAGCAGTCTGAAACTAATAAACATAAAAATTCATCACAAACAAAAGAGAGATTAATTAATTAGGGTGGGTTATATATATATGTATATATTTATTGCATTATCCAGCCCGGTTACTTCATCTCACTTTTGTTTTGAGAAGTATTTGTGATTGTAACTTTCAGATAGCCTATTGCATATTTGTATATAGAATGAAATAAAAGAGGAAAGAAACTTATCAGTTCTGCCCAGTGAAAGTCTAGTGGCTGGACAAACCCCTTTTGTATGCTGTGTTAGGACTTTAACATTTATGTCTAGTAAGTACGTTTGGATGGAGGTAGACAATTTCCACTCCACATAAAAACATCGCGATGAATATTTATATAGCATCAAAATGACGAACGTGATGTCATTTTCTTGTAGCCCGCTTTATTCTATGTAAATTCTGTACTCTTTATGAAGCGCTGTTTTTGAGATATGTTTCTACACTGAAGATAAGAGATTGTCCATTTTCTTTGAAGTTTATGAAACATCATTGTTTGTAAACGCTATCGACATTGATAAACTTTTTTTGTATTACGTCACGTACACATAGCTCACATTTCCTGAGTTGTTAAATGTGACGATTCTGGGACGACCCATTTTTGAACCTTAATTTCATACAATTCATTCATTAGACATTTGACAGCCTGCTCTTCAGTAAGTCTGACTTCTTTTACTAGCCGTGACCCAAGTGGTCGAGTGGATAACGCTTTGGCGTTTGAAACTATGCGCACTAGGTTCGAGCCTCGGTGGGAATGCAGGTACATCCAGTGATGAGTCCTAAATGGGACGAAATGCGCATCCTCGATTCCACTGCTAGTCACCATCCACCGCTTGACTTCAAGTAACATGACGAGAAATTGTCGAAGCATCTGCATAAGGAGCTGACATGTCAACCTGAGACCGTGCACTTCGGTCTAAATGGTTGACGGGTAAATCTTAATTGAATTAAATAATTGTTGCTCTATAGCCTACAGTCTGTGACTTTCGACAAATTTTTAAAAATTTGTGATTCATTGGGGTACCATAATCAGTGTACCTTGTGCTTCGTATTTTCTTAAGTAGTTTTAGCATTCCGAGGTTTAATCGATGGTCCACTAATAATGGCATCCTTAGTGTAATTTCAACACATATCCCTCATGGTGGTTTAAAACTTCGAATTCCTTGTCGTTTTCCAAAATGTAATATTCCCAGGATTAAAAGATTTTCTAGTTAAATGTCTTATCACAATCATAAATACTGAATAAGATGGAGCTATTGTAGTCCTCATAATTGTCTCATGTAATCACCATTACAATTAATTTGTTCTAGTGTAACAACAGAAGACAAGGGCCAGGCAATAGATCGTTTATTAAGGAAAATCAACACATATTTATAGATTTTAATGTAAATTATTGTAGATTATTGTTAGTAGAAAATACAGTCTTTTGATTGGTTGTTTCTCACAGAAAGTTAAGTTGCATCTTTTTTGGCTGTGTCAGATCATTCATATGCTAAGTGTATCCGCCTACGCAAAGCCTTTGTTCTCATTTTCTCACCACCAATACTGGGGACATAAACATTGACGTCAATCACTGTATACTAACTTTGGCTAGCAGCCAGCTCTCACAACACTAGTACCATTCCAAATTGTAAAAATAAAGGCTTAGTTACTGTTTATGTTTTAAGAAACATACTTGACCAAGAGATGACCCCTTAGTTTCTGTTTACTGTCTGTCCTTTTATAATACAGAATTCAGGAGTTGATTTTAATATTTTTTTAAAATTTTTTTATTCCTTCACGTTCCCAGTGGAACATAGGGCTTCAAGCTAGTGGCTTGAAGTTTCTGTAGCAGTGTTTATTTTTACAGGATGGGGTTGCTAGCCTCATGCCCAACCTTTCCTCTTCGTCAGCTTTTTCGATCTGGCTTAGCGAGGTAAAGGAGTGCGCCAGCCGGGGATCGAACCCCGAACCATGTGCATGGTCGGCGAGCGTCCTAACCGCTAATTTAATATGCTCTAGGTAAAATATTTACTAAGAATAATAGCAGTCACATACTAACGATAGGTTCAAGGAAACGAAGGAACTTTGTGCATAAGGCTTCATTGATGATAACTATCAAACAGGGAAAAAGGATCTTATCTATCTCAGGGTAGTGATGGTGGCAACCTTTTTAGTATAAAATTTTGATCTGTAAACTTTACAAATTCAAACTATACTTGTAGTTTATATTATAACATTGAACAAAATTTTTATAGATCACCCGAAAGTATTCACTACTACAATTACTTACCTGTAGTTTACCTTTAGCAACCCAACTTTCTACAGGATAATCATGTAACATAGGTATGAGGAATTGTAAACATGCATTCCAATGACCCAATAGTAAAAGTAATAAAACCAAATTGAATATTCCAATAAATTTGCTTGCAAGATTGATAAACTGCAATGAGAAACATTTACATAGATATTAAAAAGAGGAGTAGGAGAAGAAAGTTTCACTTCAAAATGTGTTTCAAAACAAAATAAGTTTAAGAATACACAAATATATGTATTTTTATAAATAGAAAGTATTAGTTATGGATTGTGCTGCATCTTGAATCGGTCCGATGCACTTACCAGAATCTATGCCATTAATTACTTTTCTAATAAACGTAAAGGTCACTGTTGATAGTTTATTGTGTAAATATGTAACTACGGTACCGAGTGTCAATTACTATACTATACAAAACGAAACCTGATGCGTTCACTTAGCCCCAGAATCGGCAGAATTCGCAGCCCTGACACTATGGAAGAGTAGCTGAACACTCGGAAAACAATCATTCTTGAAAATGGCTACGCAGAACGTTTCATCACGAAGTTCATGAAACCTAAACTAATAAAACCGCCCGTAGTTCCTGCTCCCAAAAATCTTCTGTACTTGAATCTACAATTCAACGGAGACTCATCAGCAGAAATACTGAGAAACTACCTGTCCCGCTCACTGAAGAAAAACATCTTCGTGGCTGAACTTCGAATAACTTTCTCTAGGAAATCACTGGTCAGCATGAACGTGAAGGATAAGCTACCACTGTTGCCCTCATCTTTGTGCATCTACCAGTTCACCTGCTCATGTGCAGCTGGGTATGTCGACTGTGCCCAGCATTTTCCGTCATCGAACATTTACTTTCATGGTTTAATGAAGGAGAAAATAGATCACCCCGCAGCTCTATCCTGGAACAACTGATCGAATCTGGACACCAAGCTAAACCAAAAAGGAACTTCAAAGTTACCTACAGAATGCTTGGGAATCTTGCTAACAGAGTACGAATCAAACTTCTTGAAACTGAAGAAACAATGGTAATTCACACGTTAAATCCTGGACTTTGTACACAAAAGATATTTATTCAATCATTATTAAATCTACAATCGTCCCGATGTCTTAACACTGGATGCGCAATTTTTGTTTATTATTCGTATTATTTTCTTCCCCTAACCCATATTAAATCTCTACTCCTTATTACCACCATTATTAACTTGACTGTCGTCCAATTTTATTTGAATTCTACTCAACCCTGTCAGTTATATTGCGTTACTGAACTTACTTATTTAATTTTATTTTGGTTTCTACCAGATTAGTGCTTCCCACATTACGTAATTTGTTGTCTAAGAAATTTACAATTCCAATGACACACCTCTGGAAATATTCATTTTGTTATTAAGAAAATTTACCCTATTATTATGTGATTGTACAGTTTAAGAATGATGTCGCCGAAAAAAATAACACTTCGCTGAATGTCTTTTCTTTTAGATTACTACTGTATCGAAATTTGGACACTTAAATGATAATATTACCTTGAGTGTGATAAACCCTGTGTAGATGTCATCTGTGTTTTACATGTGAAAGAGTTTTTCTTTGGATACCGTAACTTGTTTGCTTTTTTAAAGTGCTCACTCCGTGTTTTTCTCGTTTCTACACTTCAGCACATCTACCGGTTGAATATAGTTTTTCATTACTTCATCTATTATTATCGGACTACATAAAACTTGCTTGCATTCATGAAAGTAGTACAAACGAAAAGAAAACTGACGAATTAAAATTTTGTTAATTTAATTTTTAAGTCACATTGAAATTCAAGATATTCTAGGTAGATTAAGCAATTCTGAAATGTTTCGCACTCCATTTACATAACTTTATTAAAGATCTATAATAGGATAATGAATACAGCATCTTGGGAATAATACTAATCTCCATCTTTTATTCATATTACTATTACATATTACATTATATTGTCATTAATACATTTATACCATAGTGACTTATTAGTATATCTGAAGTTGGCCTCCGCCATGACTCTCGAAAACCGACTTCTTCAGGCGAATTCAGTTGACAAATTAAATTTTTTAACTACATTTAGACTGTTTATTTGAAGTGAGTCGTCTAAATAGGCTTTAAGTCAACTTAGATTACAGCCATAACACGCTGTTTATTACTATGATATTCTGAATCTGAACGGAGAGATTTTTCTGACTAAGGTTACAAGATGGTGCAGAATAACCGATACAGTGAGTACCTAAAATAATATTTTAAACAGAAAACTGCTCTAGAGAATAATCTTCCTGAATAAATATTTTTCCCGTTGATTGATTGGACTGAAATGTTCGGCCTCTATTTATGTGTTGGCTCCTGGTGCCGAGTCTTCAACGATGTTTAAGGATACAATCGAAGTAATTTGATGAATGGTTAGTCCCCAGACATTGTTGAAACGTCCGTGCTATCAGCCAATATGTGAACAGGAAGGCCAGACATCTCAGACTAGTCAGAGGGAAGATAAGAACTGGATTAAAGACAAATGATAACTGACGACCTTTGCACAAGTGGTGGCTCTCATGGCCCAACTTCTCTAGTGGATAATGGTTGAGCTTTCGAAAAGAAGAGTACAGGGTTCGACTTTCAGTGGGAACACCATCACTCACTGGGGAACGCGGATACGTTCAGATGACAAGTATCAAATGTGATGAAATGCGCATCCCCCACATGTCATCATCCATCAAATCACTTTAAGTTAATCTCTCTGAATCTTCAAACTTTGAAGTATGGTTATTTGAGCATAAAAATTGGTAATTTGCATGAATTAATGACCTTAAAATGAATGGATTTTTCGGGGGGATTTATTCGAGTATTGTTAGATATTCTTACGTCACGATTAGTATTAATAGCCAGTTGTAAAATGTCTGAATATCTTTTGTAAGTTGTTATTACGATTGACATTGATTCATTGGATAATAACTAGTCATGCTTACTAGCCCACTTCATATTAATCATGATGTCAATCCTACTCAATATAATAAATTTAAAGTCATATTAATTATGTTACTTTTTTAATGTCACCTGTATAAGCCTAACACTTGATTGTTTAGATAGCATTTTAAAAACATGTGTTAAGGCTATGTAGGATTTAGTGAATATTAAGATTGAAGTCACGCACGACCATACCATACACTGATCTCATGACTATCAGATTCCACAACTATCACGTGATTATTAAATCGCTGACTGGGAATTCACTTTTTGAACTTTTTCCAATTTGCGACGTTGTGGAACTAATAACCATAGACATACCGTCAATCTTATCATTCATGAGCAATTCAATGTATTCCAGCTGCCGTATTTTGAAGATTTGAATAATTTCAATCTGTGAATAGGAAAAGTTAAGCAATAATGACGAAGGATGGTAAATATGCTACGTCATCATGAATACTTAGATAAGACACATGTCATTAAATGGATTTCAACCAGGAGGCTGAATAACGACGTTCTTAGTATGATGTCAGATACTTCTGTATTGAATATGGATATATTGAATGGGGGACATAACGGGTACTGACTGCTGCTTAACCTTTATTGGCTATCTGGTTCACTCTGGTTCATGGCAGTTGCCACTCTCAAACTCTTTTCGATACTTTTATAAGCTCGAATGCTTAACTACTTTATGTGGCAGGTGATGATTTAGTTTTAATGTGAGTGACTTTAAGAAAAATCTTTTTGTTATAACGCATTACGATGAATATTATTTAATCTGGCCAACTCTTGGAATAAAAAAATTTATTGAATGCAATAAAGCATACGTTCTGTAAAAAGGAAAGTTTCCTATCGATTGTATCCATCTATCCAGCATAAATTACAGTGCACCAAGATGACTAATGACATAGCTTGGTTACCAATTTGGCAGCATGACTGGGAGAATTCAGTCAGCACCAATACCAAAGACTAGACCCATGACATTAGTAACTCTCAAGTGACAAATCAACAAATAAATTAAATTTTTTCGACATAAGTACTTATTCTATTCACTGAACAAAGATGTATTTATAAAACAGATATTGCAATTAGTATAAAAAGTTTAAAGGAATGAAATGAGAAATCATTGAGCAAAACTTGTACACGCCTTTGTGTCTTTCACGGACACTTAAATAAGCCATGTTCATGGTTAGGTGAAGAATCGAAAATAGTTGTGCTAGATGTACTTAAACTTGTAACTTATCAAAGAAATAATATCTTAGTGGTTGTTTGTAGAAGCTAGTGAACCTGAAGAAACTGGTCACTTCGACCTAGTAACTTCAGTAAGGAGGAATTAACAAATTATAGGCTTATATTACCTAGAATTTCATATGCAACATCCTATTATTATACACCTTAATCGTTATTTTATCCAGAGGCTGTTGTTGAATAGAAATCCGGTTACTCTCAGTCTATTTCATATATATAAATATATATATATATATATATCAAACGCGTTAATAAGAGAATATAACATAAATAGCATGCTACAGAAGATTGTATATAAAAGGTGAGGAAAATAATTAGAACAGAGCTGCATATATCGCTTCGTTAGTTTCCCATTAATAATTTTCGCTACTTTCTCTTTTCTTTCCTCTAGAATACGGTAAAAATGAAGAGATCTGTTTCTTATGAATGTATGGGAAATGTTTTTTTTCAAACTTTGTTAATAAGCTATTCTTGTTTCAATAATCAACATTGCTGACTGTTTTTGTACCCGGGACATACACAAGTTATTATTGTTTTTATCATTATTATTGTTAGGGATGCATTTCTGATAATGGATGTTTTTAATATTATAGCGAAAATTTCTTTTTTTCACACCTAAGTCAGTTCCGTTCTCTTGTACTTTTGCGTAAACATCAACATCATCGATATAAATAGCAGCACACCCTCAGGCTATACATATAAGAATAATAAATGAAGTAATTTTTTTCTTCCTCTGAATTTCACTTGCCAACAACTAACTCTGCGATATACCAAAGAGATTTCTACATTCAGAAAACTACAAACGGTTTGACAGATTTGTCCAGTACACATATGCAACGTCCTACATGAATTCAGTTTGCCTAAGTTACTGGATAAACTCCTTCTTTATGATTTAGAGACTTGACTCGTCACTA